GGGCGGCAGCTGCGGCAGGGCCCGGCCTTCTCTTGCTTCCCGCCGGTTTAAAATTAAACAAATAAACAAAAACGGCCCAAGGCACTGCGGGAAAGCACAACCCCCATTCATCTTTTCCATCCTCAGGGAGCAACACGCGCGCACAGGTCGGTAAAAAGGAGGCCGGAATTACAGACTGGGAGATTCAAACTCAAAACGTCAAAGGCTCCAGAATTTTTTACTGGGTATCATTTAACCTTTGTGTGATATCTACAGTCTTGAAATAATGCAGTCTGTGAACTATGAAACACTATGAACACTGCATTACAGTGCCAGCTGGCCCTAAGTTAGGTAAAAAAAGTGGGACTTCTTAGCTAAGAATCATCATCTTAGTTTAATACTAACTACTTAGCAGAACTTACACCCTACACAGTGTATTCTACTCAGTAGCACACCCCTCAAGTTCATTTCACGTCTACTAAAGTTTGCAAATACTTGGTAGCAGGCAAGACCAGTACACGAGCTACACAGACCGCTCTGGGCTCTTTGAACATGTGTTAAAATACTACCACCTGCACAATCCTTTTTAAGGAATAAAGTATGTGGGCTCACACTAACTGCAGGATTTCATAGCCTGGAAGCACTGCTGATAAATCAAGCAAACACATTTACAGCACATAGTTCTTCGGCCAAGCAGGGCCAAACGTTTCTAGAGCACAGACAAAACATCAGAGGTAGAGGCATCTTACTGCCTACAGCTGCCATTATAGCGCAGCCTCACTCCTCGATCTGGGAGATGTAAACATGTAGAAAAGAGTTGCAAGAAAGCTACAAAGAGGAGTTGGGAGAATTTAATTTATTTATCATATAAAGAGTTAACATACAACTCTGTTATACTATAGGCATTCAGGTAATGAGTGCATTTTGCTAGAGTGAGGCTACTTCCAGAGTTCCGGTTAAAAGGAACACAAAAACATATTAAAAAGAAAATTTTCATCATATTGCAGCAACTGAAGACTTCTGGCATTAAATCAACTACAGGGTATCTTGATGCAGCTGTTACTGAGATAAATTCTGCTGTCTGAGTGACCAGCGGCAAACTATGACAACAATGCCATCCTTAAAAGAAAGTAATCTGTATAGTTTTAGAACCATCAATAAGACACACCTCTGTCCATTCAAAGATATTTTATTATAAGATGCCATGCCCCAACTTGCTCCAGCTCTGGAGCTTCACCATGCCTGTATACACACCTAAACAGATGATTGTTGTTCCTCTGCAAGTTTTCCTGACAGTCTCTGTTCTATTGATAGATTCTTCGTGGCTCATACAGAACGACACCACCCTCCTTCATAGCTTTTTCAAATTCCTGAATCTTATTTGAAAGATTAAAAGAAAAAAAAGAGAGAGAGAGAGAAATGAATAAATATGAAGTTTCTCCCATCCTACACAAGGAATTAAAAAATGGCAATCATTAGTACTGAAATATCAATAAGGAACTGTTATGCAGGGAGGCAGAAGCGAGCAGCCTCACTAAAACGTAATAGGAATGGCAGCTTGTCAGTTATCCTTCTGACTGTTGCAAGGAGGGATTTCTCAAGTCACGTCACGCTGATGTTCAAGAAGAGTAAAACTAATGTTTAAAAGGAAAAAGGACAAGACAAGCGTAAGAAGGCAGATACTTGCCGAGTCACAACGATGTTCCCAGGGGATAACAGCTTTAAAGTTCACAAAGTTGATTCCTGCTTCCAAACAGCGTTGTGCCATTACATGGCCAAGGTTTTTGCACGCTGCTACTCCTTTAGGGCTGTACAGGTGTCTCTTTATGGCCCACTCTCGGGTAGAAGCAGATACTACAACATCCCCGTTACAGCGCTCAACAAAGGCTTCTACATAATGCTGTGTCCGCTCAAGCCGTAATCTAAATGAAGGAAAGAAATATCATGGGATATGAGGTGTTTTCCAGATCTGAGCAGAGAAAAATTGTCAAGTGCTTAACTACACGTTTTATGTGACTCACGTTATGAAACGGAACCGAATGCATTGAAAAAAACCATAACAATAGAAGGAATATAAAAAAATATTATCTGGGGTTTTGTTTCCTTTTATTAGGACATAAAACAGGACTTGAAGCAATGTCAGCTGTGAACTTTTGACTGAGGCTTTGGTGCACACTTATGACGGCTTGAACAGCTACTGAGAAAACAGTGGAAGGCAGGCAGGCAGACAATAACAGCAGTCTAGACAGGTAACCAGAGTTCTGATTAAAACTTCTGAAACGTTTAAAGCTGTTAAATTATGCCTTGTGGAAAAGATGACACACTTTTATTCAGTGCTGCCACGTTAAGAAGAGGTGTCAATTTTTTTCTGCCTGTATAAAGTCTAAACAGACTGCTACGGGTGATGTTTTAAAGCCACAGCTCTCATATTGTTAACGCTTTAGCAGATCAACAGAGTGAAATTTCAAAACCAATTTTTCAGCAATTACTCAGGTGCAGTCCTGCATTGTCCCAAACCAGCCCAGCACTCATTCCAGACCTTGCACTGTGCTTGTACAGGTGCTTGTGAACTACATCAGGGAACTGCTCTAACTGGAAAAAAACTTTAGGTTTGTTATAGCATCTTTTAAATTCTTCTGCTCACACATCGGGCAGCATTGTCAGGAGCAGTAAGTGCTTAAGGCATACCATGTAACCACAGATTATTACTAGTAACTATTTTCTATTGCTCTTTCAGACACAATCAGATTACCAGATATGTACAAACTGGATGGGATTCTCCCCTCAAGAATAAATAATGATTTTGATTGGCCAACTTAAAAGGAACTTATTTTCCAGAGGACAAGTGATCGTCATTTTTCTAAAAAGCGGGCTATTTTTTGTGCATCAAGTAAAACAATAATATGTGGTCAGAACAGGCATGGAACTAGGATAACGGTAGTGTTAAACCGTAGTTCTGTAATCTGTATGACTGCTTTCTTAACAGTAGTTGGAAAGATCATAAACACGTGCACTAACTTGCATGTGACGATAAGCAACTGTTCTCCGAACACAAAAGATACCTCTAAATTAAGAACGGAAATAAGGGGACAACTGATTCAAAAAACTGCATTTTGCAGAAACACCCCCTGATACATTTTAATTCTTTGGAAGTCTTCATTTCTGGTGGTGACTTTCTGACTCACCTATGCCAGAATTCACGCTTTGGCCACGTCGTCTTCCAGCCACGCTCCTTCCTAGCCAGGGCCAGCTGCTCCAGGTTCCGAGGATTCCTGTTAGTGAAGTCTGGGGCAACAATCTCATTTTCCCTTGTGTCCACCTCACTCTCAGTTTTGAGGCTGGCTGTAGTTGATGCAAAACGAAGACCTTGCGAGAAAGCAGAAAAAAATCTGACATTTAAAAATATGTGTAGTGCAAACAGTAGTGCAAATACAACATAGAGCAAAAGAGCCTGTAAGGTGGTAGGACAAAGTTAATTTTGTTTGTTTTTTTTTTTAAACGTCACATAGATTGCTACCAGGGATCAACTTCTTTCTCCAGGTCGTGGGATGGATTGTAAGCTAAGAATGAAAAGTACATAAAATCTCAACTGTGGTTCAAGACCCACGCGCATAACACTAATTTAAGCATAGCTAGAAGATCCCTAGGATTAAAAATTTAGAAAGTTGTTTACAAGGAAATGCACAAAGAACCAATAACTATACTATCGAGTAACAACTAATATGAAAAATCCTATACCCTGTCTGGCTAAATCAAGACTAATATGCACAAACACGCAGTTAGGCTACTGCATCAGGCTGGCAAACTATCCTTGCTACATAGCTTCTACATACAGAAAAGCACGAGAGCCTTACCAGCGTGAGGACCAGGGTCTTCCCCTTGCCAGCAACCTCCGACCCTCTGGCCATCCCCCCCGCCCCCGACCCA